TTAGGGTTCAGGGTTTAGGGTCCCGAGACCGAATCCTCCAACCCTCCCTCCGCCCGCAGGGGCCTTTGTTTGTGATGGCCGGTCCGGCCGAGTGCACGCCCGCAAACTCCTTACAGCCGGAGCCATGCCAGAACGAATCACCTACACCTACTGTAGGGGTCTTAATTGTCAATAGGGTTTGGGGGGCTCCTTATTATAAGTATGGTATGATATACCCCCAAACCCAATTCTAATTATTAGGGTCCCTAAACTCCACCACTGAGGAACTCAAGGCTTTAGGTTGATGGTTTGGGGCTGTGGGTTCATATGGTTTAAGGTTTAGGGAACAACAACACTAACAACAATGATGACGGAATGACTCTTCTCCCATCTTCTCACGAGCATGTGATCCCGTAACTCGGACTAGGGTTGCATGTGGAGGTGTAGGATCTACACTAACCCTAAACCCTAAACCCTAAACCCTAAACCCTAAACCCTAAACCCTAAACTACATTCCCTAAACCCTAAACCCTAAACCCTAAACCCGAAGGCCCTGGAGCCTAAACTGTCAGCCCGTGAACCCTAATTCTCACGGCCTGAAACTTTCAAGCATCAGATTCTCTCCTCGAATCCAAAAACCGAAATCCAATAAATCCAGCTCTGGGTAAAGGGATCAAGGTCTAGGGTCCTTTGCTTAGGGCAATGCAACGTATAGTAAAATACCCAGCTCATACCATGTCAACATGAAATATTACAATATAACATCAGGCTCGAGGTGGCAATGGTATGTCAGATCTCAGGCTACACCGGACGTAGGTGGTGGAAGGAAGCGCGATTACGAGCATGCACCGGCAGCCCAAAACAGCATAGGGCTTAGGTTTTAGGCTAGGTGATTGCAACAAAAACAGTGGTTCGAGTTTTGATTCGAATCTTTCAAACGATGATACTGACCTTTATCGTTTTAAATGAGAGCGACCGTGACGGTCGTACTGCTAATGAGGCTGAAGGCTTGAAAATAGAAAAAAGCCGGATGAAACACTGGCAGCAATACTCACCCATTGAGAAGCAGCACTCGACCCTAAACCCTAAACCCTTAACCGATATCCCTTAGCAGCACAGCTGCAGCAAT